GGGGGGGGGGGCAGTCTTTCCAAAACAAAGTAGGCTCAGTTGGGGAGGAGGGAACAGTGTCCCAAAAGGGAAAGAAATGTCCTTTTGTCAAAAGAATGAGGGGTGCAGTAACAACCATCCCCCACCAGTGCCACTGTGGACGCTCTCAGCTGCAGAGCTGAGCCCCCCAGCAGGTCCTTCCTGGAGGTCAGCTGCTCAGAGAGCAGGCGGTGTGTGGGTCAGGCAGCCCGGAGACCATCTCTCTCCTAGACTTGCAGTTCTTTTGTGCTCTTAAAGCTATGGAATAAATCACAAGCCCAGAGGTTATGATTGCCAAGGACAAAGTCTTCTGTGTGTGTGTTTTTTTCTTTTATGCTGTATTATTCGAAATTCTGAAAACAGCTTTATGGGTTGTTTTTTAATGGCAGATGCTTATTGTAATAAAATGCTATAGGAAAACACACTGAAGACAGCCCTCTTCTCTTCATGTGTGCTGGTTGAGCTCCCATATCTGATCCCTCTGTCACCTGTTCTTTGGGCAAGACACTCGACTTCACATTTCTGTTTATCATCAATAAAAATGGGGCTCATCCTTGTAGAGCCATTATAAGAAATTACTGAGCCCTTATGCTGAGCCAGATACCTCATTGCTTGTGCTATTTAATCTTCAAACAGCTTTGTAAGGTGGTCAGTCATCAACCCCATTTTATAGATGAAGATGTTGAGACTTAGAGAGATGAATTAATTTGTTTGAGATCACACAGGTGGTAGGAAATGCCAGGGCCCCGGCCAGCCCCAACCTGCCCAGCACCCGCGTGCTCCCTCACTGCGTTATATTTTGTGAGAATTAAATCATGATTCGAGGAAAGCTTTTGGCACAGTGCCTCAGAGCAAGCACTCAAATAATCATGTTTATTTTTATTAAGATCCTGGTGGATTTTATATACATAAACACATTGGAAAGAGGAAATATAATAAACAACTTAAAAAGTAATTGTTAATTAACACATTAACGTATTTATTATCTGATGGATCACTGAATATGAGGTACAAAGAAACACTTATAAAAAAATCTGGGGAGACCCTGGCCAGGTGGCTCAGTTGGTTGGAGCATCGTCATGTACACCAAAAGGCAGAAGTTTGCATGTTCGATTCCTGGTCAGGGCACATACCTAGCTTGTGGGTTCCATCCCCAGTCGAGGTGCGTATGGGAGGCAACCGATCAATGTTTCTGTCTCTCTGTCTAATAAAAAAACAGGTCCTCAGGTGAGGGTTAAAAAACAAAAATCTGGGGAGAGAAATTGAGAGTTAGAAGATAGGAGCTGTGTCAGCATGGTGGTGGTATTTTAGGTGGTCAGGGAATGCCTCTCAAAGGAGTTGACTTTTGTGCAGAGAGCTCCAATCTGTAAGCCAGGCAGACAACTGGCAGGTTTGGCTTTGGGGCACATGGATAGGATCTGGTGGGCAGGAATGTGGGGGCTCCCCCAGTGCTAAAAAAGGGAAGGATTCATTGCAAGGTGGTAACCCCTGCATTGAAGTCCTAGTCTTCCCCCAGTAGATTGTTCAGTATTTTAGAAAACTGCCATACATTTTTAACCTAGGGCAAAGCATCCTTGGACCAGTTGTCCATTTGTTTGTGAATGGGGGCCAAGAGGCCTCGCTGTTGTCTGCACAACTGTTCACTTGGCTTTCTGAATTCTATCTCACAGTCCAGGCCTGCTCGCGGCACCAGCCAGCTCCACACTGGGCCTCTCAGCCCGAGTCCCAGCTCTTCTGTCTGACTCGCAGGACACCGTTCTCTCTGTCACTTTCGGTTTTCCAGAAACCCATCCGGATCTCCGGTCCTGCTCTCATGCTCATTCATTTTCATAGGTTCCTGTCCCACTGGGTATCTTCTCACATGTCCCTGGCCCTGGGGAGGAAGGTCAGCTACGTGTGTTTCTTCTCCATTGAATTAACAGCATTCTATTAGTTTTGCTTTGCTGAATTTTTCTGAAATGAGTGTGCATGATTACATTCATAATTAGAAAAATAACAACAGAAGCTCTTCTTAAAGCAAGAAGGGATTAGAAATATGTTCTCGTCAGCCAGAGGAGAAAAGAACCATGTCAGGGTTTTGTACCAACCATTACAGATCTGACCAGAACGCTGCTTTCCCACAGTGCTTCAGGCTGGACAGATAGGATGCTGGAGAATTTTGCCATCAAGACTTTATCTCACTTGTGCTTTTTATTTTTCCAAGATGAATTAGGGATGTTGTGAATGCAGTAAGAGTATCTAACACAAAGCTATTAAGCAGATGTATCAGTCCGTGGCTTCCAATGGCAAGCGTGTATGAGCCTACATGGACTCAGGTGCATGGTTCTTTTGCTGGTCTTATCTAGGGTCACTCATGCATCTCCAGTCAGCTGGCAGTGGATGGCCTGTCTCACCTGCCTGGGGGTTGGCCCAGTACCAGCTGGGGCAATAGGGGTGACTGGACCAAGTGTCTTTCATCATCCCAGAGGCTAGCTTGGGCTTGCTCACACGGTGATGGGTTGAAGGACTTCCAAGAGCAGCAAGGAAGGAAGCTGCAAGGCTCAGGACTCATACAGCGTCACTTCTGCCACTCCATGGTCTATGCAGGTCAGCCAGCCCAGGTTCAAGGAGTAAAGAAATGAACACACATCTTGATGGAAGGAGCTACGGAGCATTGTGGCAACCTTTGCAATCCACCTTACAACAATCCTATTTTGTGATTCAAATTTTCCCTTTTATAATTCTTTGTCTTCTCCAGGCTCCTGAGAACCCAGTCCCTGGAATGGTTCTACAATAATGTGAAGAGCCGTTTCAAGCGCTTCGGCAGCGCCAAGGTCCTGAAAAACCTGTACAGGAAACACCGGCTGGAGAGCGGGGCGAGCTTCGACATCGTAGGTACGTACGCGGGCTGCCTCTTGCTCTGCGCGTCCTTGGGGGGCTGGTGGGGTAGAAGAAGGCCTTGCTCGGAGGCCCCGCATGCTGAGGCTCCTCACCTGGGACAGAGGAAGCTCCTTAAATATCCGGCTCTAGTGAGGAGCAGAAATAGGGCAGAACTCAAAGTTTCTGTTAAGTTTTGAGTCTTTTGGTTCCAGCATCCCCACTGGGCTGGATATATTAGGAGCTGAGAGGACCAAGGTATTTCTGAAAATTGGGGACATTTTAATTCTGGATTCTTAGAAATTATAGATCTTGACCATGTTTCCCTAGAGATGAAAACATTGGGAAGTCATCTCGGGTTGGCAGTGTAGACTAGGTCTGCCCTCGAGGGTACGCCCTCCACTTCCGTCCTTCCTGCTCTGGAATTCTCTTCAGACCAGGCCCCAAGTGGGAGGCAGGAGAGAGGGAGAGTGATGTCAAAGGAAGCCTGCCCATGCTGCTTGATGCAGTTAAAACAGCCCATGCACAGAAATAGAACCAGGAATTATATGCTGTAGTTCTGGTGGACCAGCCAGCAGAAAGAAACTGTCAGAGTATGAAAAGCACATCTTCGAAGCAAAGAAGGCTGTTTTTTCCTGTCTAGAGGGAGATTTTTTCCCATCACTTTGCTGACACAGGTAAATGCTTTTTATCCACGAGAAAGGCGGGGTGCGAGGGTAGGGAGGTGTCCTCCATCTCGTTTGGAGCTTGTTCACCGTCATGGTTTTGTATTCTCTATCAAGTCTTCGGTTGTGTCTTATCTAAAAATATGCCAGCCGCCGAAGACAAGGGAGAAAATAGAGTGGAAGCATTAAACGCGGCGAGTCGTTAGCGCCTTTTGTGGTAGTTGTTAGGGCCTCTGTCTTTCAAACTGCTCCGCGAGCCTATGGCTAAGAGAGCAGCCCTGACGGTTGACAAACATTATTTTATCTTCTCTTTATGGGTTTTTCTAAAAAATAAAAAAAAATTTCCTCTAGAAATGGAGGCAGAAAAGAAAGCTGAAAAGTAATGATGTTCACAGTAGTTTTCAATCCAAAAATATTTCTTAAGAAAGTTCCAGAATACAGTTGGCTCACTCATTCGCACTCCATCCTTTCTTTCCCCTCGTGTGCGCCCTCCGGCCTGCTTTATGGAGCCCTTTACATGCCCCCAGACTCCAATCTCCACAGCTTAATGCAAGGGGAGGGGAGAAACAAACCCACGTGGGGACTCCCTTAGCACAGAACACAAATCCGACTTCTTTGCCTTCCTCCCAACGGCCCTCTGGTGGAGCAGGCCGACAAGAATCCTGAGTTGGCCAGCTCGGGGCTTTAAAATCCACCAGTGTCATTTTCAAAGGAGAATTGTTTGCTGGGAATAGCTGTCTGCCACAGTTTAAGCAGAGGTAGGTCCCGGGTCCTCTGTGGCCACCACTTCTTTCCCCTGGGTCCTCAGTCACAGCACTTACCACGTTGCATCCGGTGATGGTTGACTAAGCTGCTCTCCTGATCAACCTAGGAACCCCGATTGCCTGGTTCCTAGGTTGACACTCAACCGCTGAGCCATGATCAGCCAGCCAGCATTAGTAGTTTTAATATGATTGATATCTCCACTTTAATTAAGATTTCCTTTTTTTAAAAAAAATATATCTTTGTTGATTTCAGAGGGAGGAGAGGAGAGGGAGAGAGAGAGACAGAAACATCAATGATGAGAGAGTCATTGATCGAGCCCACAACCCGGGCATGTGCCCTGACCGGGAATCGAACCCCGATCGCCTGGATCCTAGGTCGACGCTCAACCGCTGGGCCATGCCCAGCCGGGCAAGATTTCCTTTTTAAAAAAAATCCTCACCCAAGGTTTTTCCACTGATTTTTAGAGAGAGCAGAAGGGAGGGAAGAAGGGGAGAGAGAGAGAGAAAAACATCAACGTGAGAGAGACACATCAGTTAGTTGCCTCCCGCACACGCCCCAACCGGAGGCAGGGATTGAACCTGCAACCCAGGTACATGCCCTTGACCAGAAATGGAACCCATGACCCTCCAGTGCACAGGCCGATATTCTAACCACTGAGCATGCCGGCCAGGGCAAGATTTCCTTTTGATGAATATGAAGACAAGCAGACAGGAGACACTGTGTGAGGTGGCACTCAAGCCCATACAGCCATGATCATCAAACCATGAGGTTTATTCTGCACGCCACCCAAAAAATTCAGTTCTACTTTAAGTGCTTACGGGGCCTCTGGGTTATGTTACATGACCAGGGAGCCATTACCATTATCTTCTACCTACTACCCGACACCCTTGTATGGTTGTCGCCTGCCATCCTCAATCCTGACTACACATTAGAACTCCCTAGGGAGCTTTAAAAAAAAAAAAATCCCAGTGCCTAGATCACCTCCCAGGCCCAGTCAATTCCGAATCTTTGGAGGTGGGCCCGGTACAGATACTGCTTAAAGCTCTCTGGGCTATCTTAAGGCACAGCCAACTTCACTGTAATTTGTTCAGGAGAATTCTGAATAAATGGTTCCGACTTCAGTTCATCGAAGGGTACTTATCTTCAGAATTTTGATTGTCAGGACATAATACGCAGCATCTAAAGTGTGCAAGGCCCGTGCTGAGCTCCAGGACTCACAGTGCAGCTGTTCGGGTCAGTGCCGTGAACAGCAGCTCAAGACCCGACACGCAGGGTCCCCCCGTCCCCCATCACTAGGGGAGAGCTCCCATTGGTCCCCTTTTCCTAGGAAGGAGACCGAGTGTCAGAGAGGTGAGGGAGCTTGCTCAAGGTCACCTGACTAATAATTCACAGGTCCAGGAATTGACCTCACATCTTTCTGAATTGCATCTACTTTTCTGTCTTTGACTCCACATTGCCTCCAAAGAAGGTACTGGAAGACAGGTGGGGTGGTGGCAGTGCTACACCAGGAATCATCAGTGTGAGAAGAAAGATGCAGTTGGTCCGAAAGCGCAGCGTTGCTGTGTAACCGGGCGACTCCCTGACCTCCGGTCCACAGGGCTGACTTCCAGTAAGGAGGGGTGGTCTGCCCACCCAGTGCACCTGTGCCCGCTAATGACCTTCGATAATCATTTTCTCCACCCCCCC